CCTCCACCCGTTGAAGGCATCGTGCCAAGCGCCGTGCCGATCGCACACACCCTCCCGCCTGCTGTCACGCACCCTCCTCATGCTCCGTCTCCAGGACAGAACACAGTGAAACCACCAGAGGGTGACAGAGAGCAGCATCCCAACGATCAACTGTAGCCTCTTTGCACACAGACACACACACTCGCCCGTGCCGACCCRCAGCTGGAGGAAGTGGCCACAGCAACGGGTGTCGATAGCGATAAACTCCCAAATGATAAATTGTTACCAGACAGGTTCAAGTTGAACTCTAGACTCTCTGGCAATTGCTTTCTAACAGACATGTCACACTCCAAAGAAGAACAACGTGGGGGATAAAATAAAAGTGACTTAAGAGGATTAGATAACTGTTAGATGTTGTAATCAAAGAACAAGACATATATCCTCAACCCCGACAAGAATTTGATGTTCTGCTCACAGACAGATCTTCACATTCTCAACCAGAAGTAAAATATATAAATATATAGCTTATATCTGTTGATTTGGGGAGAAAAAAAAACTGAAACAAAAATCACTGTCTTAGACTGTAGTGTCCAAAGTTAGAGGGGGTGGGTTTCTTGTCTTTCTCCTTTTTGTCAATGTCCTTTCTTTAGTTTGATGTGCAAAGAAATAGGTTATGAAATGAATGCAACCTGTCTGTAAACTGGTTTTAGACTTACAGCAAGAAGATCCTGATTTTTTTGTATTGCAGTCTTTAAAAAGTGATCTCCCCATGTAACCAAACTGGTTTAAGAAAACAATATCAACCTTTTTCTGTTTTGTGTCCCCAAATTAGCAAAGCCCCCTAAAAAGAGGCAGCTTTTTGCACACCACCTCAGGAAATTAAGTTTCCGCAGTTTTTTTATTTTATTTTTTTTTTACATTTTGTTTTATACATTTTTTATGCCACTTAGTGCTTTTGTTTTTCTACCCGCTTGCCTTTTTGTGTCTTGCTACATTAGAAAAACAAACTTTAACAAAGAGATAAAGTTGATCTAATGTTTGCGCTTGTTGGTTTTGTTTAGAGAGCATGTCATTTTGCTCTTGGGACTTGTGTAAATGTTTGGCCCAAGTTAGAGGAGTAGTGGGAGGACTGGCTGTGGAGAAGTGGGAAAACGGTATGCTTGTTGGGATGTTGAGTTTTTGTCTTAGTTTTAGTTCATAAATTGGCACAGTGGTACGCTGAAAGGCTGTAAAATCCTACACAGTTTGACAAAACATCTTTTATAGAAGATATCTGTTTTTCTCTGATTTGAGGCTTCTTGTGTCACTAAGTTGTACAGCTCAGAGAGAACTGACAGTTTAAAACTTTGTTTCCATGTGATGCTTATCCAGTATTTATTGATGCTGCCTTTAGAGCCATGTGTCTAATTACACAACAGATTTACCATTTTATCTCTAGAAAGCTTAATTAAAAGACTACAAAGCTTAAAAGTTTTATCAACTTTCTAAAAGAAGAAACATACAACCTAAGCCTATGGTATTCCACATACACAAACAACATTTCAGCACAAAGACGTCGACGTGAAGCACAGAAGCATGTCAGTTCCTTCAGACAGGCATCCCTTTAACATTTCAACCTGGATCTTCCCTAAGTATACCATTTAACCACCTTCTGTGGCCTCTGTGTCTATGTGTACATATGGTGTTCTGCCTGCCTGTGTCAATGTGACTTGGTTGTATCTGTGTCTAACAAAAAAAAAAAAGCAGCACTGGGAGAAGGGGTTCTAGCAAGTACTTTCCACGCAGCGCAATTACAAAGACTCCTATCTAAACTTCACATGGTAACATTCTGTAAAAGTTTGGAATGGTCCAAACGGAAGTTGTAACCTAGCTATAAATGGTGACGTTAGCATATTACTAGTGCAACTTCACAACCTTATTATTATTAATATTTTTTACATAATGATTCCAGTTCTGCTGTTATTAGACCAATCTTTTCTGGATCCCCTCCTACCAGCAGCTGAGTAGTATTAAAAAAACAGTTTACTGTTGCCTACCTGGTCTTCTTTATGGTGAGGTAGTAAGCGTAGCAATCAGGGATGGACATTTCTCTAGCCGTTGCTGAGCAATTTATAGGCAGCGTTGGATTTTCTTTGTCCAAAAGTCTCGAGTGAGTCCTRCAGAGGAGAAGGTACTGTCAGGATCAAACATCCTAAACTACAACTTAAACTTTGATCTTTATCTTTCTTGACAGGATGCCTGTCTTTTTGTGGAGGATAAACTCTTTGCCAGTTCCTTCTAAAAAAATWAATTCAAAACATTCCTCCTTCAAACCTATCGGTGCCACAATAAAAACAACAGCCATGCGTTTCAAGAGTTTRGGTGCTCCTTGAAATTCCATCCCTGGTAGTAACACACAGTCCACTGTTGCCTACCTTAGTCCCTTTTATGGTAAGTAGTAGGCGTAGCAATATACAGTATACATAATTTATATTCTAAAGTAAATATCATTATTTTTGGTCAAATAACATCAACCTGAAAAAGATACGTTTGTGACTGTTTGCATTTGTATGAATTATTTTAAAAAGAAATAAACTGTGGAAAGGTGATCCTTGTGTCTTCTTCTCCAGTTTTGTTTTGTTAATTTAAATTTTACAATTTAATAAAATAAATTATTCTCTGTTGTAAAGGATAGACATGCTTTTGAAGATGTTGAGGTTCTCCTTGGGAGTGACAAGATAGATAATATAAGGAATGAGATCATGAGAGGTGCAGCTGAGATTGAACAACTGGGAGATAAASCTTGGACATGTCCAGAGGAGGGACAGTGGGTATATTGGTAGAGGGACTTTCACCTGTTTTTTGGATTTTTACCTCCAAAAAAACAACTGAAAACAAAAAGATCAGGGTGGAAAACGCAAAGAAAAACTATGTATTTAACTTAGCTAAAGCACACAATTATAATATTTATGCTATGAACATAAAGTGACTAAATACGCTTCCAGCAGATGTCACTAACACATCCAGAAAACGCTACAAAAAAGAAAAAGTGCACTAGATTTAACACCTGAATCTGCAAAAAAACATGGTTTGTGAAAATATGCAGAGTATCTGTAAACTCTGTAACAAAAATGAAGTCCTCAAGAACTAAAGATGAATAAAAAAAAAAGACATTTTTGAATTACTGGTAATTTGAGTGAAAAAGCGCCAAAACAGAAACAAAAAAAAAAGCTTCAAGTAGATTTTTTAAAATTCCATCTTCAGCTTAGACATCTTTAATGTTGAACAAACTTTTCACAAGTTGGTATAAGTTGTCTAAAATGTAATAGTGTGACAGCACCTTTAGATAAAAACCTGGAAACAGTTCTTGCATAAACTGCCTAAGATTCCAAATATATAAAAAAAACAAAGCAAAGTTTCTTGTGARTTTCTATAAATTTTCCTTCAATTTTTAGTTTCCAGCATACCCTCAGAAATCTCCATCATGCTCTTATTTTCTCTSTGTCCTTTTCCTCCTTTTTGGTTCATTGACTCAGGGTTACAGTCCCAGAAACAGGCTTTCCAGAAGCTGGAAACCCAGAATGGTTCAATCTAAACCTCAGGGAGCAGGAGGAAGCAGGATAAGACCCAGATGCACTAAAACAGAAGAAGAAGAAAAAAAACACAGACAGAGGTTTAACTCGGCTAGCATGGGGACCTCAAAAGGGCACAAAGAGGAAAGAGAAGCTCACACGAGGCTGCTGGAGCTTGGAGGCAGGAAATGAGTGAAGCTCTAACCTTACGACCACAAACAGCCTTAGATTCATTTGCTGGAAATGTTGCACAAAACCATTCAGTATAATCTAGGCAATCACATCCTCCAGTGTAAATACTAGGTCTGTAAATTTAAGAGATGCTCCTTTGTTTTGAAGACATGGAAAATATGAGACAGATATGCGAATGACTAAACACTCTTTGTTTCTTTTGGGAATATCATTAAGCTGTCTCTGGGAAAGGCACAACACATTAATCAATGTTAGAGCGTTATCCTGTCTTACAGGGTCAACGGGGGAAAGTCGCTCCTTTTCCCATTCTGTGTGAAGTTATGCAGAAAACAAAACCCAAGCCGTTTAAATTAAACAACTTTTGAAAGCTGACACTGTCTTCAACATAACTACAATTTATTTTACTGAAATATAAGCTGTGAATGTATAGCAGCAATTTTCTCTGGACCTATAACTTCTACAATTTTTAAGACTGGTTCCATTTCTGGCTTGTATATAAAGATTTTTCTGTTKTGTGTGAGCTAAATTCAAGCCACTAAGGAGGAATTTACTATTACATTTACTCTGAAAACAAATTAGTCAAAAAACAAGTATATTTTCAATACAATATTGTATGGTACCAAAACTTTTGATTTTTTTTTCTTGTCTATACAGTAAGTGATCAAAATCAACAAGGTCAGAGGTGAGTTAAGAGTAAAAAAAAGCTAGGTTGATATACATAAATAATCTCATTTCATATTCATCCACCCGTTCTCTCCGGTCACAGAACAGTAACCTCCTCCACCTYCCACAAACTAAATTAAGGACCATGGGAGATCAGGCATTCTGCGTGGCTACGTCCCGCCTCTGGAAGTCCCTCCCTATACCTGAGAGCACTGCAGTCACTTGGCTGACTTTAAAAAAGGCTTGAAGACTTTTCTTTTTAATCAAGCCTGTTCTGACTCTGCATGATTTTACCACTGGTTTTAATTACATTTAACAGAGCTCGGAAGTTTTTTTAATTTATTTAATTTATTTTTTTAATAGTCGCTTGATGTTTGTAGCACTTTGGGATTTTTGTAAAAGAAAAGAGCATTACAAGTTAAATTTATTATTATTATTGTTATTATT